CTCTCACTTAATTAACGATGTTTTTCGAGCCCCTCTGACCTTGGATGGTTTTAATACCTGCTCACTTAGGATGTACAGAGACCTCACTTAGCTACATTTAGTTCATTTGGTCATAACATATGATTGGGGAGCCAATTCCAACCGAAACTCTTCAGCCCTTTCAAAGCATAAAGATCTGCATCTGGAGAAAACCAATGGTGGCCCAGCTTCCAGCTACTGGGGTGGCCCAGGAGAGGAGCAGCACAAGGTCTCTCGTGAGGGCAGAACAGAGGTCCCAGCGAGGACACCTGCTGGGATTTTGATGGTGATTGAAGAGAACTGACATCTTCCAATTCATGAATACAGAATGTCTCTCCATTTATTTAGATCTTTTTTAATTTCTGTCACGAGTGTTCTGCAGTTTTCAGTGTCCAAGTCTTACACTCTTTTTGCTAAATTTATTTCTAAGTGTTTTACTGTTTTTGGTGTTACTGTGGATGGACTTGCTTTCTAAACTTCATTTTCAGATAGCTCATTGGCAGTGCATAAAATTACAATTGATTTTTGTAAATTGATCTTGTATCCTGTGACCTTGATGAACTCATTTATTATTTCCAGTTGCTTTTTCTGGAACTGCTTCTGGTGGCTTCCTTAGGATTTTCTACAAACAAATGTGACATTTTTTGCACATATGTTTTTGTGGAATAAGATTCACAGCAACTTCATTTTAAATTGAGTGAATGAAAATGCACTCAGAATTATTCCAATTATAGTGCCACATATCCCTGAAGAACAGAGTGGGAGAGGATTCCGTGGGCTGTGCTGGGAATCACGCAGCATCTGCAGCCCGTCTCACCTCTTCTACAACCACGTGAGACAGCTTTTTGGTTGAGGGTTTTGTCAAAATGTGTCTATACCTATAAGATGCACTGGGGCAGGGATGAGGGGGGATTACTGAGAATTCCTGCCTCTGGAAGATTGCTTGACCTTAGATATGTCCTTAAGGAAGAGTCAGGCAGACAGATGGGATCTTCAAGAGCAAGAGCAGCACGGGACAAAAACAGATAAGAAGGCAAAGCACTTTGATGCCCCTCTGTGAAAGCGTGAAAGCGTAAAAAGAAGCATCTTCCCTACTTCAAAGAGTATATAGATTATGGTGCAAGATCAGCATTTTGAGTCTTGTATGGAGCGTACAATTCAAAAAACTACATAAAGGCAATGAAAAAAGAGAAGGTTTTGCAGTAACAATTGTTGCTATAGAGGTCACAAAATCTGTACACAGTAATATGACTGAATCCCAGCATATCATTGAGTTAGTGTGTGTAAAGCGCCTAGCTCAGAGTTTGAAAAATAGTCGATACTCAATAAATGGTAGCTGTTTATATTATTACTATTACTTTTGCAAATAATATTAGAGGCATTCTGCAACGCTCTACAACCAGTATTTATAATGCTAAAGGTACCTCCCTGCCCAATCTGATGGACATTTCAGCAATGACATCATGGGACTCTGGAAGCAAATTAAGGCTAGAGGTGGACTTCAGAGATGGTGACAAGGAAGATGACAAAACCAAAACTTTGCACTAACCACCCATGGCAGTCAAGACCACAAAGTGCTCTTCCCATGTCCTTTCCACCATTATTCGCAATAGCCAAAATAAAGAAACAAACAACCTAAGTATCCAACAGCAGATAAATGGATAAAGAGGATATGATTTCTCTCTCTTATTCCATATATATATATAATATAATATTATACATTATATTATATGTTATATTATATATATGTATAATATTATTCAGCTATGAGGAAGAAAGAAATACTGCCATACATCCATAGCATGGATGGACCCTGAAGGCAGTTGTCTAAACGAAATAAACCCAGGAAAAACAAATACTGTATGACATCACTTATACATGGAATCTAAAAGAGCCAAACTCATAGAAACAGAGAGTAGAGCCCCTGTGATTACCAGGGTCTGGGGGCTGGAGGAAATTGGAATGTTGGTCAAAGGATATAAACTTCTAGCTATAAGACAAATAAGTTCTGGGGATCTAATGCATAACATGGTGCTCATAGTTAATAATAATGTATTTATATACTTGAAAGTTACAAAGAGAATAGATCTTAAATGTTCTCACCACAAAAATGAAATGGTAATTATGTGATGTGATGGAGGTGTTAGTTAACACTCTGGTGGTAATCATTTTGCAATATGTTAGTGTATCAAAGGTGTACTTTGTACACCTTAAACTTACACAATATGTCAATTATATCTCAATGAAGCTGAAAAATAAGGCTACAAAGTGCTTCTGAAGAGACTAATGAATAAACTTGAAACACATGCATCTGTACATGTGTTTATATTCAGAAAATCTATTTCAAGCTTATCTGTAATTATATTTAATTACATCTTTAATTTCTAAATTGCCAGATTAAGAAACAAGCTCTCTTCTCATTGCATTTGAAAACCTAAGGCTGCAAGTGATTGTCAAAAAGGAGGCCATGGTGTGGCCAGGGAGTGCAGCCTGAAGGGGCTGTTTCAGAACAGCCCCCTCCCCTGTCCTCCCTCCGCTCCCCTTCCCTCCTCTGCTCACCCCTGCTCCAGTCAAGGGCTGAGTCGTCTGACCCTGGAGGTTATAGTATCACTGATTTGAGGAGTGGGGCTCTTTGGGCTACATTTAGTTCTCCTGGCTACAAAATACAACCTAGAAACCAAGTTCTACTTGGTTGGAAGGTTTTTGGATCCAAAACAGCACAGGGATCTATGTCTGCAGAAACCACTTCTGTCTTGACCAGATTCTGTGCTCCAAATAACCAAAAGTCTAAGCTTGTCTGATAGGACGACCCAGGGCAGGGCCCCTAGAAGTGGCCTGAATGCAGTCAGACAGCAAGGATGCTCAGGCGGCCAGCACCTTCAGGAGTAAGAGTACATGCAGGGGCCCGTGGTAATGAGGCAATCTCTGCCCTGCTTAGTCTCTCTGCTCATGAGCAGATCCACAGTCCTACAGCCAACAGACAGAGACCCAGGTTGCTGAAAGAAGCAGGGAGCGGGCACATTGATTTTATCTCTGTGTGATGCTTGGCAAGCAATGACTGCACCCTCAGGAAACCCTGCACTGAATGGAATGAACGTTCCAGACTCAGCTTTGCCATGGGGGAAGTAAAGCCACTTCACTTCCCTGAGCCTCCATTTCTGCTCTATACATTAGAAATGTAGTAATTCCAACCTGCAGGGTGGCATTAAAGATAGAAAAAGAATATACTCTAGAATGTTCTCTGTGAGGTCCGAAGCACCACACAAAAAGGAACCAAAAAAAAAAAAAATGACAAGCTGCCTCCCTGATGCTATATCTAAACTTGGGTCAGATATTAATATTTAAGTGGCTAAAAGCAAGGCCAATTTTCTCACTGATACTCTCCTAACAAAGGTAATTTAAATTATAAGAATATACAACATTATTTTCATAGAATTATATTATGTTACTTTCATTTGAATGAAATGAGTATGGTTATAAACAATTTCTTTTTTTTCCCCCTGAATGGGTCCCTGTACAAAAAAAACATTGTTTATCATGCCTCTAATTGGCTCCCTTGTTTCAGTCCAACACACTCTTAGATGCATCCTTCACACCACTGCTGCCAGCTCTGGCTCAGAGACAAATATGAGGTTGACTCCTCTTTTTCCCTAAAGACCCATATCCAATCAGTCAAGTCTTACGGATTCTGCCTTCTTAATATCTCTCAAATCCGTCCATTTCTCTCCATCGCACCTGACATGCCTCTATTTTAAGTCACTATCATTTTTCACCAGATATTAACGAATTAGCCGTCTACACAGTCACTCATAGGAGTCCCCATGTTGCTCTTTTATCTTGATCCCTTTCTCCACACTGCAACCCGAATGGGCTTCCTGCACTGCACATTTTACCATGGAACCCCCAGCTGGAAACCGTGACTGTCAGGATAATCAGGACAAAATCCCCAAGCGCTGGACTTGGCGATCCTGCTCCTTCAGGTCCAGCCTTCAGGTTCGCGTCCTTGCGCAGCCCCTTTGCCTCACGTTGCACCTCTTCTTCTAAAGCACTTTCCACTCCAGCCATTGCTAACGAGGTGAGGTACCCCCCACAAGTCACGGTCTCACACTTTGTACACACTGTTCCCTTTATTGGGAAGATGCTTTCTCTTTAAGAGTTTCCACACCCACTGCCTTCCTGCCTAACTCCTTATCTCATCATTGCCATCACCTCCTTTGGGAATCCTTCTCAGGACTGCTAAGACGGGGCTAGATGCTCTTGCTCTGGGTCTTCAGAGCACTCTAGTCTTGTACAAACCTACCTGCGCTGGCATTCACCTACTTTCCTCTCTGGCTCATCAGCTAGACTGTCAACTCCCTGAGGGTAGGAATGGATCGAAGTTCCTGCTTATATCTCAGTAGAGGATGTTCTGTGCTTAGAGTTCTTTCACCTCCCAGCTCCTGGGGCTGTTGATTACTGAAGGCGCAAAGCCATGTCCCTATTGACCACTGCCCTCGGCTGCAAAAAACTGGCTTGCCCATAGTTACAGACCCTCTTACGGGCACTGAGCCACCAGTGACTGGCTGACATGGGAATACAGAGGCCTGGCCTCCTTGCCACTTTGGGACAACGCTAAAGGCTTATCTCAGCTCCAGGGCTCCTGGAAGGACTGGACTAGGCCTCAGCTGCAACTTCACTGAGTATCCATTTTTCACACTGTCCAATCCTGCCATCTGCACTTTCTTTCACATGTACCTCCCAAGAATATTCCCCTATAAACCTTCTGCACACAATTTACAATTCTCAATCTGTTTCTAGGGAACCCAGTCTAAAACAGCGCCCAGCTACCCAACATCATACCTGGCACATAGTAGGCACTCAGAACGTACTTGACATTCGATAAATGAATGGATAAATGCATTTTAAGGCCAACACTCAGAGCAGGAAACTTGTATTATTCATGTTTCCATTTCCGGTGTCCAGCACAGTGCCTGACTACTCACTGGCTTGAATGGTGGGTCCTTCAAATGTTCTCCTTGTATGACTGAGAGAGGTCTTCCGGCAGTATACGACCTTTATCGACCAGGCCCAAAGTGATAAAAGCTAAAAGCATAAAAGGAATGTCCTATTACTCTGTATAATAATGAAATTGATAGCCTTCAAAGGAAGAAAAAGTCATGTTACAAACCACAAAGCAGTTAGAAAATACTTCGCTTTTCATTAGGGTTTAAAGGGACTGTGCGCCCCTCCCTGAGAATTAAAATAAATTTAGGGTGAGCTACCTGTTGTTCTAATATATCTGAGAGGATTTTTTTTTTAAAGGTGTATCTTTAGGAAAACTCCCAAAGAGATATGCCTTGGAGGATCAACTCCCACCTGAATGATGCTGTAGAACTTGAAGCACCAAGACTTTTTCTCCTGTACTGTCCTGCAGCTTTTTGGGTTGTCAGGAGAAATCACTGACTGACCAAATAAAAACCCAAGGATGCCACTTTAAACTCAAGAACTTGGAGGGGATGTCTTAATGAGGGAATCACAATGGGTCCTTCCAGGAATTGGGGTTTTCTGATGATAGGAACTGGGGTTTTCCAGAACATGAATGGAATTTCAATGGAGAAGTCTAGAAGATAAGGCTCTCTCTCATGGAGGAATAAAACCGGGGGTAGGGAAGTCAGATGTGTTCAAAGAAGACCCAGCTAGTAGAGGTTGACTTCTTAGTCAACACACACACACACACACACACACACACTTTTGGACCTTGAGGAAGTTACAACTTAGCTTTTTTTTTCTTTTAAAAATAAACTTTATTTTTAGAGCAGTGTTAGACTCCACAAATTCCTAGCTAAAAATTTCATATGATGAAGCACTGTAATTCTTTGGGCTGTAGCAAAATTTAGCAGAAAGTACAGAGATTTTCCATATACTCCATGCCCCCCCCACCACATGCACTGCCTCCCGCATTATCAACATCCCCTATCAGGATGGTACATTTGTTATAATTGATGAAACAATACTGACACATCATTATCACCAAAGTCCGCAATTTACATGAGGGTTTGCTCTTGATGTTGTATATTCTGTGGGTTTGGACAACTGTATAATGACATGTATCCATCATTATAGCATCATGCAGAGGGGTTCCTCCACTCTAAAAATCCTCTGCAGGACTGCAGGGCAATTCCCTCGTAAGATTATCCCATCCTTCAGCAAAGAAAGTTACGTATATGTGCACAAGCACACGCACATCTTGATATTCTGAAGTGGTGACTCTGGGGAGGCTGAAGGTGGGGCAGTCAAGGAGAAATACAGCAACAGCTCTTGAGGAATGGCTTTCTGGACTCCCATGTGTGAAGGTGCAGTACATCACCAAGTAAGAAGTGTCAAGCAAGAGGCACTATGATAATAAACAGCTTTCAAGTAGACAATCCAGGAGAGTTTCCTGAACTGAGTTCACAACAAGCCCAAGAGAATAAACCTCTTGGGTTACATTCTCTCTCCCTTGGGGAGACTCACACTGCACATTAGCATATCAGCCTTCAGGAAATTCTACTGGCAAAGAAAACTACTTAAATTTCTTTTTAGACTATATTCTCCCAAAATTATTGATACGTAGTAAAATCTGTGGTACTCTGTACGGGGACCGCTACACAGCCAGCTGAAGGGATTTATTTCACAACAGGTTATCACAACCAAGGAGGATATTCTTGGAGATTTATGTGGTCATTAGACACAAGATGGTGTCGAGGTAAGAATGACTGGAGATACAAGTTCTATTAAGAGACGTTTCTATCCCAGTCCTCATCAGGTGGAGAATGAAGACGGTGGCTAAGGGATGAGGAAAGGAGAGTCAAGAGAGTCGTTGTGGAGGACAAACTGACCAGCCTTGGTGGCTAATTTCTATAAAAATAAGGAACAGGAATAAGGGGAACTCATGACATCATAAAACTTGAGAACAGGAAGTGACCTTTAAGATCATCCAGTTTGGTAGTTTTCAAACTTATATTTAGCCTTAGGACCTTCAAACATCAAAGTTTCAAGGAGAAACCCAAAGTTCAGGGCAGAAGAAAGCAAAGGTGTGGGAGTGTCTTATCTAGTAGTGGAGAAAGGAATGTGGGGCGGAGGGGAGGGGGGAGGAATTCCTGTTCACATTCTGACATTTTGGCTGGGAATGTTTAGGACATTCTAGATCTGAGAGAAGTGCCTTCACAACTCAAGAATCATTTTCTCCCACTCTCAAAATAGTCCACGACAAGTAAGTTTCAAAGGTGGGAATATTTCACATGAATAGTTTTAGAGACCTTGAATTGTAGGAAGACCCATGTGGCTAAAAGCTCCATCCCAGAGTTGACTGTCTGAGACTGATTCCTGGCTCTATCACACCCCTCCATATGTTAACATCCAAGAAATTGCTTAACTTTGCTGTGCACACTTCAGTTTTCCCATCTGTAAAGCTGGGATAATAATAAAGCAGCATCTATTTCCCAGGGTTATTGTGAAGATGAAATGAGTTATTCTGTCAAACACGCTTAGCACAAAACCTGACACAAAGCAAGAAACATCTTTAGCTCATTGTTTAATAAATGGCATCTCATTATTTAGAATGTTTGCTACGTGCCAAAAACTGTGGTAGCTCCTGGGGAGATGGAGCAGAACAACATACTTTGTAAACCTTCAAACAATAGTTGCATGCATTTACTAAACACTTATTTTATTCCAAGAAATTCTACTTACGCTACCTCTTGAGGTGATTTAAAATATGTTCACAAATTCTGAGATGCTCCCTTCAAAGAGTAGAGCCTAATTCTCCTGCCCTTGAGTGTTGGGTAGACTAAGGGGCTCATTTCTAGCAAGCAGAACAGGCAGAAGAGATGATGTATGATTTCCGAGATGAGATCACCAAAGACATGTGTTCTCCTCCTTGGATCACTCCCTCAGATCACTCTCTGAGGGAAGCCAGCTGTCACTCTGAGGACAATTCTGTAGTCCCATGAAGAGGTCAATGATGCAAGGTACAGAGGCCTCCTGCCAACAGCCAGCCCTAACTTGCCAAGTGTGTGAGTGAGCCACTATAGAAGTGGATCCTCTAGCCCCAGTCAAGCCTTCAGATGACTGCAGCCCTGACCAACATCTTCAGTGCAACCTCATGAGAGGCCCTGAGCCAGTATCACCCAGCTAAGCTGCTTTCAAATTCCTTGAACCACAGAGATGGGGTGAGATGATGAATGTTTATTATTTTAAGCCACTAACTTTTGGGTTAATTTGTTAGAGAGACAGATGACTTATCCTCAAAAAGCCCTGAAAAGGATATACTGTTATCTATTTAATAGATGAGAAAAGCAAAGTGGAGATGTTAATCATTCTGTCCAGTTCACCCAGCTGGTATGTAGTGAGAGGCAGAGTTCACCCTCAGATCTGTATGTTCCCAGGATCCAGGGTATTCCTACTCCATCACTGTCCCTCCAAAGGTAGAGTCAATGACACATACAGCACACACAGGGGAGCACTATAAGGAGACAGCTTTGGGCAGGCTTTGGAGTTAAGTCTGTTCTTTTGCCTGAGACCAGCCCAGGGGATGAGAATGAAGGACCCCCAAACGTCCACAGAAAAGATGCACGAGAAAGGCAAAGATCATCTTAAGTATAGTCTGTGTCAATTAAGGCACAGTACCCGTTGGCATTTAAAACTGTGGGGCAAAGATTAGCAGTTTTCCCCGCCCCTATAAAATTTACATTTCCAGCTTTAGGGATTCTTGAATGAAACCAGACTTCTCAGAAATACCTTTCAAATGCCAAATTCTCCTCTAACCAGGGGCTAGGAAAAAGCAAGCAGGAGGCAGAGCCTGGGTCTGCACTAAGCTCACTGCTGCCTTACCTCACAAGGCACATCTTGGGTGCACGGCATTCTTTCTCTCCCGGGTGCAATCTAAATCATCTCCTATGTCCCATTTTTCTTTAACTTCTTTGAGTTTGCCAGACATTAGGACTGAGCCCTAGATCATGCCTTCAGGTTTACGAGGACAGTAATCTGTCATCAGCACCTGCAGTGCCTTTATCGAGCTCCAATTGCATGAACTCCCCCGACTCCTACTTTCTGACAACTGATAGACTTTTCTCATCTCTAACCACGAAGCTTTGACCCCATTCTTTCCTTTTGCGACAACACAATATGCTGTATTTTCTGCCCCTGGGAAAATTAAAAAAAAAAAAAAGCCTACAGCTTCCTAAAAAAAAAGGCTGCAGAAGTTTTTTATCCATGTTCTTGCCTACCCTTCAAGAAGAGAGGCACATGGAGTGGCTCCTTTGGGCCCCACACCTGATATCAATGTATCCAGCTCCACATTTTGACTTTGGTCTGCACTCAGCAAAACTGCGTATGGTGGAAACGCAGTATGTGAAAAATTAGAAAGGTGAGATTGCATGGTGGTTAAGCACGTGGCCTGCAAAGCCAGAATGCCAGGGTGTTTTTAAAGCTCTTAGAAGAATTTCTGGCAAATCATAACCACTCTATTAGCAGTTGATTCATACAGGCAGGTTAAATCTATTGAACAAACTCCCATGTCTTTAGAGAGCTACCTCTACTCTAAGATGGAGCTTTAATTCTCTCATTTAATCCCCACAAAACCAAACAATATATTAAGATATTAGAGTCCAGACCTGTCTACCCATCCCCCTATTCAGAACTCAGAACGTGTTATTTTAAAGGAAGAATGTGTTGAATATACAGCTATTAGCTTAAAGACTTTCCCAGTCTTTTATGTTTTCCAATTTTGATGTGCTAGGAAATTATTCTGTAGGACCATACATATATACAATTAAATGTCCTACACTTCAAAGGCAACGTAAGACATCTTCAAGGACAAATTTGTTCATTTTTTAAAGTTTTACTGTGCACTTCTTACTTGAGAATCTAACCCCATTTAAGCTCTGACTTTCCTTTGTTATATGTAGTTGTACATTACATGGCTTCTGTGGTAAATTAACTTCCAATGCCCCAGGCCCGAAAGGCTGGATTCAATCGTGGCATGTTTCTTCCTTAGCTCTGTACATACAGCCATAGGATTCCAGGGTCATTTTTTTCCCCAGAACTGGCTGAAGACAGAACTG